CTGGGCTATTGCTTCCTTAAGAATGGAATATTAGGAGCAACCTTGCGGCAGAGACAATTTAAAAACATTTAAACATCTAACGATTGGGTTCTTAAGTCTCTGCAGACACTTAGCGGGAAATCCAAGAGCTTAGTTATAATGATCTAAGAAACATGCGGGAATGGATCACGAATTAAGTGAGCGTTTGGTTCACGGAATGTAAGATATCAGTGGGAATAAAAGATTACCAGGAATAGAATTACTGGGAATGTTGTATTTTGTGTTTGGTTGGTTTATCAGGAATGTAAGATTACCGTGTTTGGTTAAAGGAATAAAAGATTATTGGAATGCATATTTAATCAAATTGTCCTTATTATATTTGTATAATATTACAAATTGTAAAATATTTATATATTTTATTTAAAAAATTAAATTCATAATATTTATATAATTTTTTTTACAAAATTAAAAATATAAAAAATGTTTAATGAAAGGGTAAATTTTTTTAACCCCTGAACTTCATATAAAATTTTAATTATAGACTTTTTTGTAAATCTAAAATAATTTAAGGATAAATTGTAATTTAACCTTCATAGAATTTTATTATTCATGACAGAAGAATGATATTTTTGAAAAAAAATAAAATTTAACCATTTTAGTCCAAAACGCAAGTAATGTTACAATACCTAAGGGAAGAGAGGTAATGACATTCCCGGTAATATATCCCAAAAAATCTACTATTGATAATAAAATATTACCGGGAATGAGATTCTCGTCCAACCAAACATGAGAATGTGAGATTCCCATATCCTTGAACCAAACACCTCCTAAAGGTATCTTTTTGTAAGTAGGATGATAAAAAATACTTGACTCAGTTAATTAATTATATTGACCCGACGACTCGAATTAAAAAAAAATCGAATAATTATCTAAAAAAAGCTGTCCGAGCAGGCCGGATATTTGACCGACATTTTCTAGATCGAGCCCGGATCACGAAATAACATTTTTTCGGGTATCTAGTTACCCGGTTGCATTTTTTTTAAAGCAATATCATTGCATAAGTTCGGGATCTAATGTTGTCGTTTCATACACCCACAAAAGAACAAAGGATATGACTTGATTATCTGCCAGAGCCAGTAAAAACTTCAAACAATCCACAGCAACCTAAGCATGAGGTTCTTTGCACCGGTGGAGTAGAAGCAACAAGAGGCTGCTTTTCAGAATGCTAATAAAATTAAACTATTAATAATTTTATACATTAAATTAAAATAATAAAATTAAAAAAACACCCACAGGAAGCTGTATGTTTAATAATTAATATAATATTTTGTTTAATAATATAAGCTATATGTTTTTATAATTAATAATTTGAAAATAATAAAAAACGGGTATCCGATTACCCGAATAATGGATATTCACAAAATCCGGATGCTCGGTAATCCATATCCGAACACCCGAAACTTAAGTACCCAAAAATCCAAGTACCCGGACTTCAACACCCCTACAAATCTCAAAAATTCTTTTTGCGAAAGAAATACTCGGGAAGGAATGTTTAGAATTGCTTTGGTATTTGTAAAACAGTGTCACACATACTCTATAGGTGACTAAGCTATTATGGTAGTGCTAGCATGATTGTTTTCATCTTCCGCAGTAGCTCAAACCTAAACCTAAACCTAGTTGGATCGACCATATCTGAGGATGTAGCTTAACCATAGTGATAACTCCTTGTATCAGCAATCGAAGGTCTCAGCCTTACTATAAGACGTTGGTTTTCTCCAACCGTTGAAGATTTATAAGTAAATTAAGCTACTCTGGGTCGGGGTGTCCTAGACAAGTAAAATTCTTCCGATCAAATGGCCGTAATAATGGGACTTCCTTTGCAAAGTATACATTCAAGGTAATTCTGTTTTAATAATCTTTGGACTTACCTAATTTTCTTTAACATTTCCCGTGTTTGTCACCAGAAACCAATATTCCCTTGTGGCTCTCAATTAAGTCAAAACGGTCCTTGATTAATTAATAAAGGTGGCTTTAAGTTCTAACATGCAGCCAGTTGTTAAACAATCCAAGAGACAAATTCCACAACCAGCGCAGATTTGCAATCCATTAATGTCTTGTATTAGACAGTTGACATCTAAAATTGCTGTCCTTTAACAAAGGCCAAGGAACCGGGCAATGTGTTTATTCAAGATCTAAAAGCTTATAACATTAATGGCTTTCATAACAACAATTTTACACAAACATTTTCCTTTGAAGTGCCTACCTGCCTTTCAAGTTGATCAACGGATTGTGACAAATATCAAACATTCACATCTCCAATGACAATCATTGCCCCACGCACAGGCCCTAATAACATAACAGACAAAAACGTCATTACCAAAGCAGCGTAAAGAAATTTTAAAGCAAAGAAGCAAGTGAGAAACAAAGAGACAAACACCGAAAGAAAAAGATTGTTTCCAGGCTGCATGGATCAGATAACCTCTTGATGATTTTTGTAATTTAACAATGTAAACCTGTAGGATAAGTTCTCATGAATTTCAGATTAGTAGCTTGGGGTTCTCCGTGGAGTCAACTATGCAGCATTACTATCCCTACTGATATCTTAATACCAATTTGATAATTTAGATCTATGCTGAGGAGTACTTATTTACCTAATATAGCACATGAAAGTTTAACTAAAATTCTTTAAACAGAGGATTTTATATATAAAAAAATTATAGAAAGTTCAAGGCATTTGGAAATTAGTGAGTTGTTAGAAACCGAAAAAAAAATGAATGATATTTCCATAGACTAGTCCTTATTCGGGCTTTTTACCTTAAACTAGCGAAAGAGATGCAACTTCATATCAAACTAAGAAAATAATTGAAGGACAGAGCAGTAAGATTGTCTAAACTTTTCAACAAACTTCAGTAAGTAGAATGGGAGTGAATCCAAACCAGAAGATTCTACTACAATTCCCAGCAATGTAGCAAATAGTTCAGGCACATAAACCATATAATGATTGACAGGCCCTATTTGCCGTTTATCTCCAATACAAGTACAAACCCTGACTTATACCATTATCAAAGCTAGATATATGGGATCCATGCTCAACAATACTCTTAAAATAAACTTCACCGTCAAAATGATCATGGATGCAAATACATATAATCACAAAACAATGATTAGTTTGAAATGGTATCAAGTGTACTCAAAACAATCCTAAACTTAACTCCCAGAAAAAGAGACTGCTCAAAGGTTATGCATCTTGCAATATCACACTTTTGGGCAAAAAAATATCTACTTGTACTTCTGTTTAACTCTAACTGCAATCATGACTCTTGACCAAACATCAATCCATTCCCTTCTTTCAAATGCAGAACATGGACAAATTATCACCGAGATAGTTTCATGCCAACATGAACAAAGATCTGCACATGCTCCCCCTATTACTATCTCCGTATTTGCTATCAAAATTGATACTTTTAAATAGATAATATATGAAATAACACTCAAGAGCCAACCTTAAAAATTAAAAGAGGTAAACCGAATTACGATAGGATATAAACTGAAAGAATAAAGAAACAGAAACTAAAAATCAAATTTGCTTTACTAGCATAAATTCAACTGAATATCAATAGAACTACAGCATTAGCATCTTTCATTCATTTATTTTCAATAAAAATTATATCCTTTTTCTTCTGGATGGAAGAATCCACATGTGTTGTTGTCTTTCTAACTTCCTTTACAAAGTCTTAGTCTTCTACAATTAATATAACATTTCAGGATATTTTTAGACGTTGATGCAAATCCTGCCAGTTGCCTTAGCCCTTAAGTTAGAAGGACCCTTTTCTCAATTTATTTTCCCCAGATAATGACAATGCATTGCAAGGTACATAAAATATCCAAGCATGTAAATACTTAATCCGTAAAAGGAACTTTATATTCCATGATTTCAATAACTTACATAAGAGCTAAAGACATCAAAATAACATATTTCAAGTCTACCAAGTAGCACTTGAGAATTGAGATGCATATAAAAGATAGCTCTTGGTTACTATCAATCCTACATAAAAAAATATAACTATCCAAATGAATTTTCTAGCACAAGAAGCAAAAAATGGGCAAGGTCATAATTTTTTAAAGAAATCTGTGAAATGCCTCTTGATTGGAATTAACCCAACTCTTAATAGGCAAGAAGGAAACAATTGATTTTCACTAAATGCAATACAATAATTGCACAAAAAATATGAAACAAAGAAAACATTGTTTTCTTTAAGAAAGAGATCATACCCAAGGTTAAGAATGCTATTGATGGGGTCCAGAAGCTGGGTCTGCTGCTGATGTTGTTGTTGCTGTAGCGGAGGAAGACTAGCACCATCAGCAACTGCGGCAGCACTCGAAGGTGCTCCTTTGGCCTCCACAAACCTCCAAAGGTACCAGGAAGCGACTAACTTGTATGTTCTCCACTTCTCACACAACTGATCCATCTGCGAAGGCCTTGGCAACTCCTCTAAATTGTAGAGCATTTGAACCCCTTTCCGAATCCCGAGATCATTAATTGGAAAAACATCTGGTCTATGAAGCGAGAAAATCATGAACATATGAACCGACCAAGAACCGATCCCATTTACCATTGTAAGCATGGTAAATAGTGATTTGTCATCCATATTTACAATCGTCGCGTCTGATAATATCCTCGTTTGGTATTTTCTCGCGAGATCATGAAGGTAACTCGCTTTTCGTCCCGAGACACTAATCTGCCGTAACTGTTGAGGGGTTAAAGAAATAACAGTTTCAGGAACAACGCCGTTTTCACCTCCGCAGAGAGAGATGAAACGAGTGTAGATGGAGGTTTCGGCCTTGAAAGCGAGCTGTTGGTATAAAATGCTTCGTGTGAGAGCGAGAAAAGGGATATGGAAAGTGTCGAAGGTTGGGGGTGGATGAAGGTCAATTAAGGAAGCAAGAAGGGGATCGGCGTTGCGAAGGTAACGGATGGTCGTTTCCACCTCGCCTTCACAAGAGAGGGACCGGGCAATTATTCGTGGAACCACCACCGCTAAGGCTCGATGTTGAGCAAGTTTTGTTTTGGAAGTTTTACCGACAGTTTTAGGCGGCTCCGTCACAAATGTGGAGGAGCTCGTTGCTTGTTGGGAGGTATTAGAGTCAAAGTTCGAGTCAAGGAGACTTTTCAAATTTTTCTAGGGTGGGAAGGGATTTTCGAAGGAGGAGATGAGGTTGGGAGAGGAACATTGGTGAACTCCGTTGAAGAAGAGGTTACAAAGATAGTGGTCACGAGGGAAGCAACAACGACGGAGGTATTAATCGGGTTTTTAGTAAGGGATTGAGGTTGGGCTTGAGTCGAGGTTGAGGATGAATCATTTGGGGCCTGAGATTGAGGCTGCGCCGGGGTTTGTTCGCTCATTTGAGATTGATCAAAATTTGAGATGTAATTCAGAAATTGACGGATACCGAAGGCAACAGTGACGTTGACTATGACGATTGGAGTTGGGGGGTTAAGGAGAGGAGTGCTGAAAGGAAAAGAATAGTGAGTGGAGGTTAGGAAAAGAGTGTAATGACTCTGACACGGGGTTAGACTGTCGGCTAGCTGATTTGTGCGTCCCTTAGATGTCTCACTCGGTTGCTCGACGTTTAAGTCAACCTAAATTCTTCGGTTATTGTTGCTATAGCGATAAGAATGATGGAAAACATTGAAAAAAACGTAAGAAAGCGTGTGTGAGAAAATTTTTGGTCTAAATGCCTGAGTTTATTCACACCAAATTCTCTATATTCAATGGAGGTTGGGAGACCTCCTTTTATAATTAAGTCCCCTTACATCTCATGACTACTCATAGTATAACTACAAGTAAAACTCTTTACTTTAGTTGAAACTCTAATACTTAAGTCATATTCAAACAAGGACTATGCTACTTGGCTTTATTTTCCAAGTAACGGTCGACCTTGCTAGGTGGACAATCCCTAAGATGGTGCTGGCCTCGGCCATGTGTGCCATTGATGTGTGCTGCCCTCGCCCCCAAGCGATCCCCCTTTGTGCGTTTGTCTTAGTTCTAGGCGCATACCCGGTGTGCGTTGGCCCTGACCCCGAGTGCGTCCCGTTACTTGCTAGCTAAAGTCTTTGGCTGACCTTGTCATGCGTTGGCCTCGGATCTAGGTACACCTTAGTGTGATGTGGTCTCGACTCTAGGCAACTATTGTTATTTGATGGTCATGCTTGTGGGTAGTTTGGGGCGGATGTGTCTAGACCTTATTCGGCTATATTTATGCCTTGGTCTCGTTGTGGCCCTTGTGGGCTGTCTGGGGTACTTCTGTCACACCCTGGTGGGTGTTGGTCTAGGCACCACAGCGGGAGCAGCCTGCCTTGTGCTGGTTGCGGCCCCATAGGTAGTCTGTTGTGGGCCGATCTCGCCCACAAGTTCGCAGTCTGTGATATTCTCTCTCACTTGTTCTAGCGACACCCTTGACGTTTGTTTGTTTTGGCTTGCATTGCCGCTTTAAAAGTAGTTCCCAAGGTGGTATTCACATTTTTTTGGAGCATTCTTGACATGTTGAATAATTGTTAAGGTCTTGGTCCCTTCTTTATCACTTTGTATCAATGGGACACTACCTTGCCATCGGGAATCCATGATGCCCATGACATTTGCATAGGGAAGGATAAAGGCTTTGATCCGGATAAGGAAGTTCAACCCGATGACAAAATCAAAGTCATCCATGGGGATTATCATGAAGTCTATGTTATCCTTACATCCTCCAATCTTCAATTCTACATTCCGTGACATTCCAATGATTGGATCTTCTTTAGTGTTGATGGTCTTGATTGTTCCCTTTGATGGTTCGATTTTGAGTACAAGAACGTCGGTGACCCTTTTTATATGAATAAATCAGTTGCCCCGATATCCATGAGGGTAACTTCGGATTGTGCGACAAGATTGATGTTCACATATATTAATCCTTGTTTTTGGCTTTGATGTTGTGTGACTTAGAGTGGATAATTTTTACCCTTTGTGGTTCCCCCCTCGGTAATTCTTTCGTCGCTTGGAACTTACCCTCGACTTAACACTTGTAATTAAGCTAAGTTTGCATATTTCTTCCTCTGAATAATTGTCTTCATCGACAATGGCTGCGAGTTTTCCAGTGTGGGGGCAATCTCTTGCAAAGTGTCACAGTTCATGGCAATTGAAGCAACGAATTGATTGAATATCCCCCTTTCTCTTTTGAATTGTTGCCTCGGTAGGCTCTGCCTTTTGTAGGCTCCTCATCATCACTTGATAGGCTTTGTTCTTGGCCTTCATCTTGGGTTCTCTTACTAGGACCCTCGACTTTTGATTTGAGAGGCTTGGGTTTCTTAACACCAAGTTCGATAAGGGATTCGGCTTCAGACAATTCTTTGACACCCCTTCTTTCCAATTCATTTTTGGCCCATGGCTTTAATCCGTCCATAAAGGTGAAGAACATGTCCTCTTCAGTTAAGCTTGGGACTTGTAGGCTTTACTCGACAAATTGTCGAACATACTCCCTTAGAGAGTTTTCTTGCCTAAGACGTCTTTGTTTTGACCGTGCCTCATTCTCGGCATGATAAGGCTAAAATTGCTCTTTGAACTCAGCTTATAATTCTGCCCAAGTTCCAATGGTGGTTACATCTCGTTTCATCTCGGTGCATTTACGTCGCCACCATAAGAGTGTTAAATCATTTAAGTAAACAGAAACAATGTTTACTTTCTTAGTATCATTCTCGATGCACATAGCTCGAAATTATTTATTCATGTTCCATATAAAATTTTCAACGTCTTTGGTCGACCTAGTTCCTTTAAACTTTATGGTTTGGGGACTTCAGTCCGGCTTTTGGGGGCGCTAGTTAGCATGCCACCAGCCACGACAGCCTTGCACAATGTGTTGAGTTAATTGATTGACAAATATGGCCAAGAGGGGGGTGAATTGGCAATTAAAATTTTGGTGGAAGCTTTTGCAGAAAATTGAAAGAAATTTGCACAACGATTTAGAGTGGTTCGACTTTCTCAACCAAAGTCTACGTCCACTACCTTAGTTATCCACACTAAGGATTTTCTATAAATTCAATAATTTGTCTTTCTTTTGAGGACAAAGAGTAACCTTACAAACCCTCAAGAATTATACCCCAAATTCTTGAGAACACTCTCTCCCAAAGAGAACAATACAAATTTGCAAACTTACAAGGAAATTCTCACAAGGTAAATTGTTTGCACAATTCTAGAACAAAGAAAAGAACACTAAAAAATGAATACAATTGAGCACAATAAGTGTTCTTGAAAGCAAAATGAATATTGAATGAAAAATAGGCATGAAATGCTCAAACTTGAGGTTTGATGCTTTCTCTTTGATTCTCTCTTGATTCTAGTTGCTTGATGTTTCTTGTTATTGATCAATGGCTTCTAAGCTTGCTTAAATACACCTTGAATCACTTCTGAATGTTAGGGATCATTAATGAAGTTTTTGGAGCCGTTTAAGTGTGAAAATAATTAATATTTCTGCTTGGAGCGTGGGGGGAATCGGTACCTGTTGAACTATGTTTTGATATAACAATGTAAGACAAAATGTTTTTGGACTTGAATTGAATTTGCAAAATGTTTTTGGATTTGAATTGAATTTATTCAAAGTTTTCAAAAGGTTTCAAAAATAATTCAAAGTCCATTAAATTCGGATTTTAGAAAAAATGCTAAATGGTGTCAAAGTGCATCCATGCATCCCTGCAGTGCATCCATGCATCTGCACTAATGCATCGATGCATCAGGCAATGCATCCATGCATCCAAACATCGAATGCAATTAGTGCATCGATGCATCCTGCCATGCATCCATGCATCAAGGTTGCAACGGCTAGTAATGGCTAGTTTATTTGAATTTAATGAAGGGGTATCGATGCACCTTGATCATGCATCGAAGCATCATGTTATGGGCAGCCTTTTTGAGTAGAAAAATCATCCCCAAACGACTCCAAAACATCCCCAACGGTTATATACGACATCAAACACATTCCAAGCTATAAATACAAGCTAAGGACACTTGAAGAAGTAAGAGAACAACTATCCAAGCAATCAAACACAAGAGAAGAGTTTTTCATTCTTATTTCATCTTTCTCTTGTAAATATTTTGTTCTTGTGAGCTCAATCTTGTAAACACCTACCTTAGAGAGGTTTTCTTGTTTACATCTTTTATCCTTTTGTAAAGGGGAAAGGTTCTAGTTTAGCCTGGAAAAACTAGGGAGTTGTAAGGTTATCTCTTTGTCCTCAAAAGAAAGAACAAATTAGTGAATTTGTTGGAAAATCCTTGGTGAGGAGCTAAGGTAGTGGACGTAGACTTTGGTTGAGAAAGTCGAACCACTATAAATCGCTTTGTAATTCTCTATCTTTCAATCTCCTTACTCCCTAAACACAAAACCGTTCCGACCCCTCTTTACAATCCGTTCCGGTTGTCGATTCGAGCTTCCGAAAATCCTAACAATTAGCATCAGAGCCTAACTCGTTAAGAAGGTTTAACCACCTTGAGACGATCCTAGAAGAAGCTCTACCAATTCCCTACACAAACGAGAAGATGGCTTCCACCTCCGGCTCGTTCCACATAGAAGACTCCCTACCAACCGACAAACCTCCATACTTCAATGGAGTCAACTATCATCATTGGAAGAAATTAATGAAGGTATTCATCCAATCCAATGATCTTGATGTATGGGAGATAATCGAAAATGGCTACTCTTCTCTAAAGAAGAAGGAGAAGAAGCGGAGTGACAAAGAACGAGAAGAAAGCTCAACTTAATGCCAAGGCCATCCACATGTTGTTTTGTGCATTTGGTCCTGAAATCTATGAAGGGGTTTCTTCATGTTTAAGTGCCAAGGAGCTTTGGAATAAGCTCGAGGAAATCCATGGAAACAAGAAAGAAGAACCAACAAAGGTGGTGTCTCTAATGGCTTATGAAGAGCTCGAGGTATCTTCTAACTCAAATGAATTTAATTCATATACGTTTGATGAGTTACAAGATGCTTTTAATAGGTTATATTCGGAGTTTGAGACCATGAACTCCAAATATAAGAAAATGATTTCAAAATTTAAAATTGAAAACGATTTTCTTTTGAAAACAAAAATAGATTTTGAAAGCCAAAATGAAATTTTGAAAAAGGATTTAGAGCTTTCAAAAATAAAAATTGATAGTTTTGAAAAACAAAATTTTGATTTAAAAGTTAAGCTTGAATGCTTAACAAAAGAAAAAGAAATCATTTTAAATAATTCATTTAGTTCAATAATGACAATATGCTCACATTGTCATTATCATGGTCATTTGGAACATACTTGTCCTTTGAAGAAAGGAAAACGTTTTAAAATTAGGCAAGTATGGGTTCCGAAAGGAACAAGGGGCATTGAAACTAACGTCCAAGGATCCAAAGCAATTTGGATACCAAAATCTACTTAAATGTCTCTTGTAGGTGTGTGGGAGCAATGGTGATGAGAGTGATGATATTCAAGATGCTCTAGCCACACATGAAAAAGGAATGTGTAACCTCTAAGCTTAATGCTTTTAAATTTGGTTATTTGGTTGCTCATTTGATTTTAAGCATGCATGAGTTTTGTTTTTAAATGATTATGCATCATTGTTTTAATCTCATGTATGTTGAAAAGATGATTATGATGAACATTTTAAAGTTATATTAATTTTTAAGAATTTTTAGTTCATCATAATAAAATTTTGGTCAAAATTGGTTTTAATGCAATTGATATCTCTCTAACAATTGATATCAATTTATCAAATACTTTGATTTTATAAATTTTAATTTTTGGCCTAAATTTGAATGTTTATGCATGTGGTCTAAATGAAAATGATATCTCTCTAGCAATTGATATCAAATTTTTAAAATTGCATAACATTTTTGGAAAACTTTATGCAAATGCACTTAATTTTAACAATTGATATTGATATCAAATTTCAACAATTGGTATTGCATAAAGTATTTTAGTCTTGGATATATTGAATTTCATGTGCTACTAACATGTTTGTTATTCTTTGTTGAAATTCAATTTTGTTTAAGTGTCAAGTTCTTAAAGCTAAATTTTATTTGGAATGCATTTATTGAGGGGGAGTTTTTGATTTTTCAAATAAATTTTTAAATGTCAAATTTACCACTTACTCTCCAATGTTATTTTAGAACTTTAAAAGATTGAATTATTTTTGATATAACAAAAAGGGGGAGAAGTTTGGTTGTTTTGAAAAATTCAATTTCTTAATGAAAAAGGGGGAGCTTAACATTTTTATATATTTTCCAACAATTGGTAACAATTGATATCTTTTTTATTAAACAATTTATTAAGGGGGAGTTTTGCCAAAAACAATTTTTCAAATGTTTTGTTATATCAAAAAGGGGGAGATTGTTGAACTATGTTTTGATATAACAATTTAAGGCAAAATGTTTTTGGACTTGAATTGAATTTGCAAAATGTTTTTGGATTTGAATTGAATTTATTCAAAGTTTTCAAAAGGTTTCAAAAATAATTCAAAGTCCATTAAATTCGGATTTTAGAAAAAATGCTAAAGGGTGTCAAAGTGCATCCATGCATCCCTGCAGTGCATCCATGCATCCCTACAGTGCATCCATGCATCTGCACTAATGCATCGATGCATCAGGCAATGCATCCATGCATCCAAACATCGAATGCAATTAGTGCATCGATGCATCCTGCCATGCATCCATGCATCAAGGCTGCAACGGCTAGTAACGACTAGTTTATTTGAATTTAATGAAGGGGTATCGATGCAC